TGTTTGTTTATTTGAATTTCGCGCAAAGCAACACGAGGGCTTTCCGCGCTAGCCGTCCCTAATTTAGCAGTGTAAGACTAGAGGGAAGGCAGCTAGTCATCACCTCCCACCACCAACTCTTGGGCTACTCTTTGACCGTCACATTATAACGACCCCACGGGTGAAAGAGCGAGCATGTTTGGTGTGACGGAGATTCGAACCCTCAGATTACGAGTCGAGCGCCCTAACCACCTGGCCATGCCGGGCCCAAATAGAGTGAACGTTTGACAAATAAAGACAATTATTTAAAGCTCTGGATACAACTGTGACAAATAACAATATGACGTAAGTGAAATTATTACCGATGGTATTGTAACAACAAACCAGAGTAGAATAACTCATCTTGTCAATTATGTTCTAAAGTAATTGAACTAGCCTGTGCATACAACTGTGATAAATAACTGTGTAACAAACATTTGTATATAGGTTTGACTTGTATTCATATATTATTTTCAAACAAGTGGACTGTGTGCTGTTTGTTTATTGTTGAAATTTATCGCTAACAAGTCACAGACACCTATTGTAAAGAATCCGACACATACATTAAAACCTGACTCCTTCTTCGTTGTGTTTTCCATGACACCAAATTGTAAACTTACTGCCCTACTTTATGGTATTCTAAATTGCACTGATAACGCTATAGGTAAGAATAGTAGCCACAATAACAGGAGATACGAGAAGAAATATTATGCAGAGTTAAAACTACTTTTGACTTGACCAAACTAGAAGACCGGATAAAATGTGAGAAAAGTGAAAATCAATATTTTTAGCTGTTTTATTAGTTTCACCTTCCTCATCACTAAAATAATGTGCATAGAGAAATGTCTAGAAGGTGAAACTTTACTGGAGGTCATACATGGGTAGACCTTCCTGTGCAACTGGGTGAAGATTGTCAGCATAGGCAGAGACTCCTTCTTTAAACCCTGAACTTTAATCAACGTTATGCTCAGTTTTCAAATGGGTCAAAGAATCAGTGTAACAAAGCAGTAACGATGTTCAAATCCCTTAGCTTGCTCAGGTTTTTGATGGCACATCTAAAGTCTGGGTTAGACACCTTCATCATTTTCTTTCAATGTCAGAGGTGCTTTGCATATGATATTTCCATAAGGTTACAAACCTCTGACTCTCACTTGCACCAGTCTATGCCATCCTGACCAACAAGGATAATGCAGTAGTGATATAAAAGTTTGAGATTTTATTTCACACACGATCCAGTCTGCTTGGAATAAAAGTGTCAAGCTGAATAGTTGTTAAAGATGTGATATAACACACACCTATATTATTAAGATTTTTTTTTCATTCCAAGGCTTCAAAAAT